CCCCCCCCCAGCAGCGACAGCGACGCCTCCAGCCCCGCGCCCGGCGGCACGTATTGCGCGCCCGCCATCCCCCACCTTCAAACCGCCCGCCGCCCGGAAGCGGAAGCGGCGCGCACGAGCGGAGCGCAGAGGGGCAGGGACAAAGAGGAACCCCTGCCGGCGAAGCCCCGCCCCCTTCCCTTGTCTGAGCAGGGCGGGGACGGAGAAGGGCCCCGCCCCTTTCCGGCAGTGTTGGGGGCGGGGCTAAGTTCTCCTGGGTGCCGCGTGTCATATAGGGCCTGTGGCGCGTTTGCCCAGGTGACTTCGCCCCGCGCGCCCCTTGCGGCAGTGGCCCGGCCCGGCCCTGCACTGGCGGGTGGGAGGCGAGGCGAGGCGAGGGGAGGCTGCTGTTGCCCTGCCAGCCTGTTTTCCAGTCTAGGCTGATTTCTGGAACCAGTTTAAGGAGACTGTGCCCCACCTGCGCTAGGGCAATCCTGCCACTTCAAGAGCCAAAGAGATCTATCGCCCAGCTGACCATGCCGCGCATGGCCACCCCGCCAGATTGGGCAGGAAAGTGATAGCCCCGCATCTCCCTTCTGTTCTGCAATGTGATTTGTCCTTTTCATATTTGTTCTTTTTTTTAATTGTATCCTTTGGTATATATGGTTGTGACTATTTTCTTCCACTATTTGATCTGAGGAAGTGGGTCTGGCCCACGAAAGCTCATCATCTAATAAACCATCTTGTTAGTCTTTAAAGTGCTACATTGTCCTGCATTTTGCTTCAACTACCCCAGACTAACACGGCTACATTTCTATCACTATTCTACATGCAAGGCACTACATTTAGCCGTTTGGAATGGAAATCCATCAACCATATGAAGAAACTCGCACAGATACAGACTATTTTCATATTTGTTCATTTTTTTAATTGTATCCTTTGGTATATATGGTTGTGACTATTTTCTTCCACTATTTGATCTGAGGAAGTGGGTCTGGCCCACGAAAGCTCATCATCTAATAAACCATCTTCTTAGTCTTTAAAGTGCTACATTGTCCTGCATTGGGCAGGAAGACATTCATCATCATCATCAACAACCACCATGGGCTCAACGCCCGTTGGTGTCTGATGCCTCCACTACCAGTCACTTAGTTTCTGTAGACTAGCTCCCCACCCATTCTCTGTGCAGTCTGCCTCTCCAATCTGGACTGTCTGTTATGCCGAATACCAGGGTCTTAACTTTTCACTCATTGTTCATTCTGCAGATATGCCCAAATAGCTGTAACTTCCATTGTATAACCTTCTGCAGTAGGTTTTTTTTTTTTTTTTTGGCTGTATCTTCCTATATAATTCCTCATTGGTGACCTTCTGCATCCATCATATTCTCAGTATCTTTCTATAACTCCTCTTGAACGCCAATATCCTTCTCTTCGAATCTTTCATTATCACCCATGTCTCACATCCCTAAACATGCTGCTAAATACACACATTTTCAAGATGCTCAATTCCATTCCTAAGCTAATCGCTTTACTTTTCCAGATCTTATCCATCAACTTCAAACTCGCTCTTGCTTTCGCTACTCTAGTCACTATTTCCTTCTTACAGTCTAGCTCATATGTAATATTGCTCCCCAAATATTTGAACTTCTCTACATTCTCTAGTTTGATCCCATCTACACTGATCTTCCTTCCTATTTCTTTATCTCCAAATACCATTGTCTTTGTTTTATCAATATTCATAATCAGTCCATACCGCTTCCCTTCCTCATTTAGCACTTGCACTGTTCTCACTAGTTTCTCTTCATCTTCCTCGATAACTATAACATCCGTGAACCTCAAATTGTTAATTCTCATCCCGTGCACCAATATCCCTTCTACCTCTTTCTTGATCTTGTCCATCACTCTCTCTAGGTGTGTGATGAAGATACTCAGCGATATCAGATCTCCTTGTCTCATATTTCTAAACCAACTTCCCAACTCTCCAGTGCGCTTTTCCAATGCGCTTTTTGCAGTGTGGAGGAGCTTTTGCGCAAGAAGCCTGCGGTCTAGACGTAGCATCACTGGGCAAAACACATAGGCAATGTTTATTCTATTAGCTATGATATGTAGCTGTAGTACTGTAGTGCAGATCTTTCCTACATCAATTTCCCTCCTTAGATGTGTTACCAACCTCAATGGAAGAGTTTTTCCACTGATATACATCAAGGCTTATGTTGACCAAAATGCAGTGATCAGAATATGAATTTTTCATAGTCCTGAGTGATGTAGCGAAGTTGATCTATGTTTATACCAGGCCTTAGACCAAGAGTGGGCAATAATTTTTGATGGGGGGCAGGCACTCCCAAGAATTTGGTAAATAGTCAAGAGATGTACTCTTCCATGATATTAATGGAGGAGGTGTGGGATTGGGCATGGAGGTTATGTGTAGATGGGAGTTTGGGGCAAGGGAATGAAGTGCAGGAGGGGAATGGGATCTGAGAGGGAGTTTAGGTCCAGGGGATTGTGACCTGGGGCGGGGTACTGGGGCGCAGTGTCCAGAAGGAGATATGGGTGCAGGAGAGGATTCTGACCTGAAGGAGAGGTTTTGGAGGGGGGGTGCAGGTTCTGGGAGGGAAATGTGACCTGGAGCAGGAGTGCAGGAGAGCGAGCAGGGATTTGGATTGTGAAAGGGATAGGGAATTGGGGTTGCTAGCTCTGGGAGGGTGTTGTGACCTGGAGGAGGGGTGCAGGAGGTAGTACAGGGTCTGGGAGGGCGTTATCACCTGGGGCAGGGATGCAGGAGGTGTGCAGGGATTTGGGTTGTGACTAGGAGCAGAGGATTTGGGTGGAGGGGCTGGGATGGAGTATGGGTGCAGGAGTGGGAGTGCAAGTGTTTGGATTACATGGCGTAGAGTGAAGGAAGGGGGCATAGGATTGGGGGGAGGCAGGGCTGGAGTGCTGACACAGGCTCTAGCCAGGAGGTGTGTACGTGGGTGGGCTCCCGGCCAGCCTTCCAAGCTCCTGCACGCCGCTCAGAGCCATGTGTATTGCTCTGAATACTGCAAGCCCAGGGGAGTAGTACTTCACATGTAGCCTGTCCTGCAAACAGCTCCCATTGACCAGAAACATGGCAGCTATGAGATTGTGCTGGAGAAGGGGGCAGTGCATGAAACCTCTGCCTGTGCTCACAGCATTCAGAGAAACACACAGGGCAATTTGTCGGAGCAGGGCAGGCAGGGTTGAGGCTCCTGCTGGCCCGCAGGCCAGATCCAGCCTGCAGGCTGTATTTTGCCTGCCCCTGCCTTAAACCCTGTCTTTTTGAGCACTAAGCACTAAGGTCTCCTCCAGCAAAGCTCACAGCAGGGCCACAGCCAGTTGCAGAAGGTACGGACACTGAGGTCAGCTCTGAGAAGACTCAGCTTATGGGACTTACTATGGTACCCAGTTGTCCATTCCCCTTTGCATATAAACCCAAAGTTATATGACATTTCCCTCCTTCCTTAATGTGAAAGAAGGTATATCAGCCTCTCCCATTCCCCCCTAGAAATTACATAAATTGGGTTACATTCATTATAACAAAAATATGTTTATTAACTAAGAAGACATGTATTTTAAGCAGTTAAAGAAGTGGCAAACAGAACAAAGCAATTACTAAAAATATAATGCAAAATGCATAATCTAAACTAGATTTACTACAAATTTGGTTACGGATAATAATTTCTCACCCAAAATAGTTTTTCAGGTAAAGTCTTTCAGTCAGAGGTGTTCTTTCTGGCCTGTGGCCAGCAATTCTCTCCTCCCCCCCACTCTCTTACACTTTTATTTCCAGATTTCCAGGTTTCTCTTTGGGGTGGGGAGGCAGAAGTAAAACAAGCTGAAGACAATCACTGTTTTCTTTTTTTCCTTACATAAAATTTCCATAAGTCAGGGAAACCTTTGATTCTCCCACCTCCTTTTGGAACAGTTCATAAGAACAAGGAGTTGGTTAGTGTCAGGTGAAGCATTATAGACTCTCTTCCCAGGAAGGCCAAGCCTTTTTACTTTCCAGTGTAGTAGCTGATGAGCCATCAAGTCCATTGTAGCCCCTGATGTGGCAATAGTGGGAATGACCCAGAGCAGCAAATATGAAGTCTAGATACACAGGTCAATATTCTTAACTTCATCTACAAAAATAATACCTGCATACATATGGGATAATCATATTCAGTAAATCATAACCCTTCCAGTGATATCTTACATGAACCATCTTGCATAAAGCATATTTCAGTTCTCATTCTTATAATAAACATTTTCTTAACACATATGGAATGTCATCTCACAATATGTGTCATAGAGTCATTAATTTTTAGCAGAGCTTTTTTCAGTAGGTCAAGAATATCTCTTTCATGCCAAGGGCTTCATTGTTGCTAGTTACTCACTGGGCCTATCAGTTTGGCTTTTGTCCATTCTGTTACTGTTTACTTGGCACTCACGTTAATACAAAGCAGGGTGGGAATTGATAGTATATAATTACCCACCAGCTAGAGAGGATTACATTTGGTGTCTGTCATAGCCTGACTGTCATTTCTGCTAAAAGGTTCTGGTATCTAATCAGTCCTTGGGTTTCAGGATATGAAGACTTCCAGAATGATTTACACAGGCATCAATTATGCAATCTTTATATGAGAACACTGAAGTGTGGTGGAAAATAAAAGATAATTAGAGTGGAGCTCTGAGCTGATTCAAATGCACAATTGAAATGGCTATCAGAACAAACTCATCTGAGTATTATTTGTCTTATGAATATTACTGGGACTATTTGGATCCAGTACCTATAGATGAAAGGAAGTTGAAGGCTAATAAATGTAAGTATCGCATAGTAAGTAGCAGTTGCTGATTTAGTATGTGAAGAGTTTGATAAATAAAATAGGTTGAATAATCTCCCTTAATATCTTCACTGTTGTGTGGCATTCTGTAACATAATGCTATTTACTGGGCTATAGATATGTAATTTGTACAGATGAGCATCTTGAGTTTTTCAACTCAGCACTAATTGGGTTCTATTGTAGGTTAATACTAATACTGCAATATTATTTCATTTACTCTACAATATATACATTTGAGAGAGATTTGTATATTAACCCAGATAACTGGAAAGATAGTAAATTGTTAAAAACAAATCTATGTAAAAGCCTATTTTAAAATGTTTATCAGTAGATTGGTGTATTCCTGTTTGCATGATAGAATAGCAAAATAGCCTTTTGTTACATTATATAGTTTTTTTTGTCAGTAATGGTTGTTTTTTCATGGAATACCATCCTTGCATTAAAACTGGTGTAAGTTTCTAGAGAAGTTAAATTTTGATTAGCCAGGAACAAGAAGCTGAACACACATACTTTTTAATTTCTTTTATCTCTTGTTCATATCTAATCATATTGATGTTTATTGCAGTTACAAAAATGATGCACTATAAAGGTCATCACTGGGTGCTATGAAAACTTATGACCAAAATGGTTGTATGAATCATAGTATGGCCATGATAGTACATTCCTTTACCCTTTGGTATTTTGATATTTTTAGTTGATGAACAAATAAAATGTAATTCTCTTTATCCAATTGTATTAACTCTGTTTGGAGAAAGGTATTTATTATACTAAAATGGAAACTCTAATGTAATCTTAAATTATTATTTGACATGATAGACCAAGTTCATTCCTAGTGTAACTCCCTAGCTTTATTCAGTGGAAGTCAAAGGATAAATTCACCAGGATGAATTTAAAACTAACATGTATTGGATAGGTAGAATCTATGGAAAATGACAATGGACAAAAATATATTACTGGTTCCTGTTAATTTACAGTTACCAAAGACATTTTGAAATATAAAAGTACAATCTTTAAGGTTAATACAACTTTTCACATTATCATCAATGATCTTGTCTACAAGGAATAAATGATAGTCTTGAAAGACTTTTGCTTATACGTGTAACAACAATACAAGAAACATTCTTTGTAGTGCAAATGATAATATTAAAACTGTAAAATTTAAAAAGCCCTGGGCTTGTCCTCCAGCTGAAAAGGGCTGTGACATAGGAGGATTTTACATCAGTTTCAGCCTATTCTGATTTTAGCGGCTGCTGCTGGGGACTGAATCACCTTGGCACATTAAAATACCTAGCCCCTTCCCCAGTAAGCCTTTAAAATGGCAGGGCAGAGGGAGAGGCTCCTGAATTGGAAGAGAGTGTTCACACTCCAAGCAAGCCTCAAGGGCTTGAAATGAAGAAGAACAGTGCATTGCGTCTAGCAGTTTGCATTCATAAATCCAACACAAACCAAAACTGAAGGGAAAAAAGGGATTGTCCAGCTTCAGTAAGTAAGAATGTTAGTCATGGAACTAGCTACTTACATATGTTTCAGGAATATCTGGGCACGTCTAGATTACTTTTTTTTTCGAAAGGAGATATGGAAATGTGGTGCTAATTTGCATATCATCTTCCACTTGCATTTTCGAAAGCGGGTCTTTCGAAAGTGAAAGTAGTCTGGATGCAGTTTTTTCGGGAAAAAAACCCTTTTTCGCTCTTCCTAAAAAAAGGTTTACGTGGTTTTTCAAAAAAGGGTTTGTTTGTTTTTCTGAAAAAACGCATCCAGACTACTTTCACTTTCAAAAGACCCGCCTTCAAAAGTGCGATGGAAGATATGCAAATTAGCTCTAAATTTGCATATCTCATTTTGGAAAAAAGCCTTAGTCTAGATGTGCCCTTAGTCTGCTTTAGCAAAAACAACAAGGAGTCTAGTGGCACCTTAAAGGCCAACAAAACTTTGGGAGCCCACTTAGATGCATGAAAAACTGGCATATACATTGGTGTTCTGTGAGTCTGTGGTAGAAACTGAGTTGTGTAATCTGCAAATGGATAAAAGTCTCACACCCCTCGTAAGTGGAATATATTGCTTCCCCAAATATATATGTAATGCTGGTCATCTTAATGAACAGAGTCAATGGCTAGAATTAGGATAACTTTATTTCTACAGATATGCCACATAGTGGTTTGCTATGAGACTTTGGATAGTCACTTGATTAAGTTGTGCCTCAATTTCCCCATCTTGAATAGAGAGAATAATACCATTCAGTGGTGGTGTGCAGTTTAGCTAATTCAATGATTTAAAATGTTTTGAGATAATCAGTTTTATCTACATATTTTATCTGATACTGTGTCATTGATACTGCATTCTTCTTTCTTCTTTTTTAACAGATTCAATTGTCATCGCCTTTTGGGTTGGACTTGCTGCATTTGTATTGTTTCTGTTCCTTATATTGCTCTATATGTCTCGATCTGGTTCAACACCAGTCAAGTAAGTAAGACTGTTGTGCTGCAGATGAGGTACAAATAACCTGATATGTTTAAGTCACATTATAATTGGCAAGTTACACCTGTTCACCGTTTTACGCTTCTGTTCCACTTCCATGGTGCCCTCTCAGATCTCCAGCTGTCAGTTGTCTCTGAACAGGCACCTTGGTCCCATTTCTTTCAGCCTGGGATTTAAAGTCTGTAGAGCCCCCTGACACATTGTCTGATACCCCCAGCAAGTCAGTTTACCTGAAGACCAGAACCTGGTCTGTGCTTTGTGTATGAGGACAAAATCTAACAGCTAGAAGCTGAAGCTAGACATGCAAGCTGGCAGTGGTGCATATAGTTTTAAGTGAGGATAATTAATCACTGGAAGAACAACTTACCAAGGAATATGGTAAATTCTACATCAGTTGTTCTAATTCACCCACAAGTAATTGGGGGAAATCTTATGGACTATTTTATGCAGAAGATCAAACTAGGTAGTCAAATTAGTCCTCTTTGGCTTTAAATGTATGAATGGGCTAAATTATCAGATGGTTTAAACCACTACAGCTGCCCTGAAATCCATGGAACTCTGTTAATTCAGTGGTTTAAGTACTGGCCCAATTTACTTTGCTTTGTTTTCCACATCCTGTCCTGAAAAATGCTCCATTTCCTTTACTTCAGTATTCCTCCCTAACCTCAAAGCCTGCAGCTACTGTCCTTCAGGCTGAGCAGGCCTGGATAGAACTTCCTCATGACGTAAAGATAGTCCAGAGGGATAGCTGTGTTAGTCTGTAACTTAAACAAACAAAAAATTAGTAGTCCTATGGCACCTTAGAGGCTAACAAATATATCTATATCTATATCTATATATATCTATATATATATATGTGTGTGTGTGTGTGTGTGTGTCAGGAGTTTTCGTGGGCAAATCCACTTCTTCGGATGAGTAGAGTGGAGAAAAAATGGGAGGAACCTCCCAATGTATAACAGAAAAAAGAACGATTTTTTTCAATGGGACTGCTAGAAGACCAAAGTACTGCTCGGTGTAAGAGAGGCAATCTCTTTTAACTGGTTAAAAGACAGGAAACAAAGGGTAGGAATAAATGGTAAGTTTTCAGAATGGAGAGAAGTAACTAGTGGTATCCTCCATGTGTCTTTTCTTGAACCAATCCTATTCAACCTATTTATAAATGATCTCGAGAAAGGAGTTAACAGTGAGGTGGCAAAATTTGCAGATGATACTAAACTGCTCAAAACAGTTAAGATCAAAGTAGACCAAAAACAGTTAAGACCTAAGAGCTTCAAAAAAGATCTCACGAAATTAAGTGATTGGGCAACAAAATGGCAAATGAACTTTAATGTTGATAAATATTAAAGCAATGCACATTGGAAAAATAATCCCAACTATAAATACAATATGATGGGGACCAATTTAGCTATAACTGCTCAAGAGAGAGATCTTGTAGTCATTGTAAATAGTTCTCTGAAAACATCCACTCAGTGTGCAGCGGCAGTCAGAATGTTAGGAATCATTAAAAAAAGGGATAAAGAATAAAACAGAGAACATCTTATTGCCTTTATATAAAACCATGGTACGCCCACATCTTGAATACTGCGTACAGATGTGGTCTCCTCATCTCAGAAAAGCTATATTGGCATTGGAAAAGGTTCAGAAAAGGATAACAAAATGATCAGAGGTTTGGAATGGGTCCCATATGAAGAGAGATTAAAAAGACTGGGACATTTCATCTTAGAAAAGAGGAGACTAAGGGAGGATATGATAGAGGTCTATAAAATCATGACCGGTGTGGAAAAAGTAAATAAGGAAAAGTTATTTAATTGTTCCCATAACATAAGAGCTATGAGTCACCAAATGAAATTAAAAGGTAGCAGGTTTTAAACAAAAAAAAGGAAGTTTTTCTTCATGCAGCGCATAGTCAACCTGTGGAACTCCTTGCCAGAGGAGGTTGTGAAGACCAGGACTTTTATAGGGTTTTAAAAAGAACTAAATACATTTATGAAGGTTAGGTCCATCAATGGCTATTAGACAAGATGGGTAGGAATAGTGTCCCAAGCCTCTGTTTGTCAGATGCTGAAATGGATGGCAGGAGATGGATCACGTGATGATTCCCTGTTCTGTTCACTGCCTCTGGGGTATCTGGCATTGGCCACTGTTGGAAGACAGGTATTGGGCTAGATGGATCTTTGGTCTGACCCAGTATGGCTGTTCTTATGTTCTTAATCATGTTCTGAGTTACTGAGTGAAACAGCTGAGCACAATTGATTGTCTCATAAGTCTATATGACAAAGTAGGGTACATTGAGGGAGAGATCACAAATTGGCTCATGTTAGCATTATGCAGTTCATCATTTATGTAAAACTAGATTTGGCAAAGGAGGGATCAACTCTTCAGGAAAAGTAGGTGGACTAGGTGATCTAGCCTTTCATTTTTATAACCTCTGTGACTGTTACATAGACTTATCAGAAAACGTGTTTTGCAGTCTCCTGAAGTAACACTTAAGCAGCACTATGGAATACAACATGAATGTTCTTTTTTACAACAACCTAATGATATAAATCATTCTAGTGACAAAGCCTGACTAAAAGAAAGCAATGCCCATTCACACATAGCACTGCTTTGTTCACAGACCTAGTATTACAGGAGATTTTGAACTTTGCCTAAGTAAGGTTTTTATTTGATGCAGTCCACATTTAGTTTACTTTGCTTGCTGCTGATTTCTTTGGGCAAACAACCTTGTACAAACATGGATGAATTTGGAAGGCTGGGCCCACTGCTTTTCGTAAGCTGATTAGGAGGCAAAAAGTTCAGACCAGCAATTAGGCAGAGACAAACAATAATATAATATAGTAGTAAAAGGGAGTAATAATACAGTCAGAATATCAGCACCGGAAGGTCTCTGGCACATTAACAAAAGGCAACGACAACACAAAAAGGCAGCTTTCCCAAAGAAACCACAAAGCAGGAGATAAGTTAATTTCCAAATAACACAATAATACAAGAAACACATGGAAATCAACATAAAATTACATGGTTACAGAGGCACTTTCCCTTTAATTTACTGTGCCTTAAGAACTGGCAGGAGAAAATTGTGTACAAGTAATAGTCTCTCATGAAAGGGAGATTCCTCTTGGTAACAGAGTACTTGCAAGACTTGCTCAGAAAAGGCTAAACATTAGGAGAGCTTTTATATGGTGCTATTGCGAAAGAACATGGAGGATATGTATTGTGCGGTATTACAATATTGTAATAGTGTAAATATTGCCATATTATCTGTAGTGTTGGATATATTTGATATAACCTACTGAAAGTGCTATGGTAACAGCATTCCAGGGCATTTTGTACAAACCACAAGTGTTGATAACTGAAAGGAACAGTAGGTAATGGATTGTTTATTTAGCATTATACATTCATCTTGAATATTGCTTTTCTAGATGTTAGAAAATACCTTAAGAAATGTTAGGAACAAGGCAGTCTATACAGCCCACCACATCTCTTTTTTGATTTACCTGCTACCTGGTTTCCTGCTGTTTCAATTCTTTTCTTATCCAGAAGTAAAACTAAGGTGGGTCTTTTGAACCCATTCTTACTGTTTGTTTCAATGACCTACCCCAAATAATATATTGTTCTCTTTATGAATTATCTCATTTATTATTCTGTACATGAAGTTGTTTTGCCCAAACTCTCTATTTAATCCTAGTTTCCTAATATTAATAAGATGTTCACTGTAATCCTTTTCCCTTAAGAAAACTAAAAGTTTTAGTTGGTTTCTGAAGTAGTGAGTAGCAACTTTTTTAGAGCTCTTAAGTGTATTTCCCTTTCAGAAAGCTAATGGAAAATATTTATATTTAACACAGATCATCAGGGAGAGATTTCAGATCCATTTTAGACAAGCATTCAGAAAGCATGTAATGATACTTTTATTCCTTTTGTATTTCCTGCCTACCGGTCCCAAGCTCTAACCAAGAGATGAAACCACCTCAGAATGAATCTACCATTCTGCAACTTGCCACCAGCTAGCCATATACATACTGTACTCATTTCCACATGCACTGAATGACACTGCTCCCTATCACCTCTTTGACCACCGTGTGGGAAACCTAATTTCATCCCTTGACTGTTTGCAGTCAGTCATTGGTTAGGATTTTTTTTTACACACCATACCTCCCTCAGAGGAGTCTTGGGCAATGCAGTATGGTCTAGGCTTGAAGGAAAGTCACTTTACAGGTGTCTGATATGTGAGGGAGCCTGGCTGTGCCCTGCAACTAAACCCTCTAAAGGGGATCCACTCGCCGGAGCTGGAACCATGGCATTCCACTCACTGAGGTTAGCACAGCCTCACTGTGCTCCGGCTCCAGCTGGAGCAAAGGGGAGCAGCTGCCAGCCACCACGTGGCCTGGCCAGAACCCACCAGGCCACCACCACCACCACCAGCCTTCGATTGCAATAGGAACATGAGCGGTGGTGAGTGCTGCTGCACGGCTCTGCAAATGAGGTGGGTGGGCTTAAAATTTCTTGTGCACAGCTGCGCAGGCGTGCAGCTTAGAGGGAACCCTGCTTCTATTCAGCCAACCCTCACCACCACCCAGAGCACATTGCCCAGGGCTCTAGCTCCATTTAAAGGTCTCAGGGCTCCTTTTGAATTGCTGGGCCCCAGAGCAGTTGCCCTCTTCTCTCCCCTCTCTTCCACTCCTGACCCCATCAGCAGATCTGCTTACTGTCCAGTAATTAATTCATCTTTAACCATCTTAATGAGGTCCAAAACAGTTACTTCCTGTTGGATGCAATCCCTTTGTGTTAGAAAAATATAATCTATAATTTTTAGAAACTCTAATTCTGTTTATGAGAGATCTGCAGCATGCCTCCTCAGTTAAATTCCTCGATAACAATACTTTGTCTTTCCATATATTACAGACAGGTGCCTGCAGGTAACAGGATAGAACATCTGGAAGGAGGAAGCTCCAATGCTGAGCGGCTGCATTGTCATGATCTCAGCAGTCCGGACTCAGACTTGATCTCTACTGAAATACTCCATTCCCTTTCAGATAAAATTGGCATTCATGGAAGTATCTCTGCTTGAGTTAGAACAGTCTGGAAATGGATTCCTCAAAAGCCAGTCTTAGTAATTCTGGCAGAGACAAGACACAAGAATCTCCTTGTAACCTGCTAACAACTGTGTAAAATTAAATTGAATTAGCCCTGAGAGTGAGAACAAAAATAATTAAAAAAATTAAGGCTAAAATATTCAAACCTAGCTGCCTAATGATCAAAGCTTCTCAAGCCATTCTCAAGCCTAGACTTGCTGATTATCAGAGGTGCTGAATAATCCTAGATCTTGCAAATGTTTACCATTGTATAATTACTCATCTAATAAAAGTAAGAATAACTTAAAAATAACCAGGGACAGATTCTGTTCTCAGTTACATGGGAGCTGTACATTGAGCAACTTTTCTGTTGTGTGAAGCCTGATTTGTCTTGTATACCCAAAGTTTCATGTCACTTAAACTATTTGCTTACAACATCAGACATAAAAATTCAAGTGTCACAACACTCCATTACTGAAAAATTGCTGAGTTTCTCATTTTTACCATACAATTATAAAATAAATCAATTGGAATATAAATATTGTACTCACTTTTTTCAGTGTATAGAATAGTACAATATAAACAAATCGTATGAAATGTCAGTTTGTATTGACTTCACTAGTTCTTTTCATGAAGCCTGTAGTAAAATGAGGCAAATATGTAGATGAGTTGCTTACCCCCTGGTAAATATCTGTATACCCCTCATTGAGAGCCATTGCTACCAAAAATCTGGTATAGATTCAACCCTGCAAAACATTATGTATTGTGCTTACCTTTTATGCACTAGATATTGTCTTCAGTTGGACTGTTCATGTTCATGGAGACAAAAATAAAATGTGTAAATCTTTGCAGGCTCAGGATCATAGCTTTTTGTTTTTAATTGGAAAAGAACCCTTTGATTGTATTGGAAAAATTAAAATAAGATTTAAATATTTTTCCTGCAGTACTTATTCCTAATAAGCTCCATCACAACCTTAGTTTTGATCAATCTTATTTCCTTAGGTGCTTGTCCTCAGCTCATCTTCTTGTTGTTGAGCTCACCTTAGCACATTGCAGTATTTTTTTGGCCACTTGTTTGAGCATTGTCAATTTAAAAGCCTTGTGACTGCAGAGCGGAAACTTGCACCAGGCTCCACCAGCTTCAAACTGAGCTCTGCTTGAAAGTACAGCAGAATGTGTTTTATTTACTTGGTTTAATATTGAAAAAATAGCTGGTTACTTTAAAATAAAGTTTGCCTATTTTGTTTAGCCAAATGCTCAAAAGCAGCATTTGTTTTGACAAACAAACTGAAGTGCATTTGTAAATAAAACTGGCAAAATGACACTATTCAGGATCTAGTAGCCACGGGTTCGCCTTCTGAAAGATTGTATAAACCAATTTCTAGTCTCCTTTAATACCAGGAAAATGTTAACACGGAAACACTGCCATTGTTCAGTTGCTACACTGGTGTTAGGATAGAAACTTGCCGACTTTTACTTCTGACTGTTTGCAGTGTTGCCAACTCTCGGGATTTCTTCACAATTAATTAGCTTCAGAGGGGTAACCAAGTTAGTCTGTAACAGGAAATATTTAAAAAACAACAATAGTCTGGTAGCACCTTAAAGACTAACAAAACATATAGATGGTAGCATGAGCTTTCATGGGCACAGCCCACTTCTTCAGATGAGTATAATAAACCTAGGTGCAATTAATGTGATTTTGGCCAGGGCTTGAGCTCATCTGGCAATGACATGAGAATCTGCAGTCCTCAGATGAATTTCAGCCCTGCCTAGAGGAAAATCCCCTTCATCTTTCCTGCTTACTGGGGAAGAACAGTCAACGAGAGCTGCTGCAGAAGATGTGTATAACTCTTCCTCCTCCTCCTCTCAGGAGCCAGAGACATTTTGGATTGGGTAGAAGTGAGAGCGAGCAGGTAACACCATCTTGAAGGATAGTGTTAAGGAGGAGAGACGAGAAAGAGACCTGCATCTTAGGGTAGATCCACTTCCTCTTTCCTCTTGTGAATAATAGGTCAGTCTGGCCTTGGTTCCTCCTCTTTCTCTTTCCCAGCACCAAGCTTGGAGAGGAAAAGGTGCATGAAGATCCATCGGAGCTAACCCACCCTCAGGCCCAGGAAGGAGGAAAAGGGGCCAGGGAGAGTGGGGTGACGAACTCCTGTGAGTGCAAGATGAGAAGAGGTGATGCTAGCAAGGCCAAGCTGACATGAGGATTTAGGAGCAGTAGTGATGTGAGAGTTGCATAATTAATTGCTGGGGTGGGGGGGGGGGGGGGGGGCACAAAATTAATTAGAATTGTGGGGTTTGGAGAGAAGCTGAAAGCTTTGCACCATCAGGCAAACCACAGAATCATCATACTCTACAAATTTAGGAATGGACAACGCTAGTTTCTCTCTCTCACACACTGAAGATGGGGAAGGGCAGTTCAAAAAATCAGATCAAACAGTCAACATAACCTTTCAAAAAATCTCATGTCTCAGGATGAACTTTGGGGGTGAGCCATCAGTCCTGGATTTACAATGGCACTGCTGATGCCATCACGCCAGTCAAAAGGAGCCCCAGCACAGCTTGCTCCCTTGTGCTGCACCCTAAACCAGCTGGTTCCTCTTCCCTCCTCTGCTTCTCCTCACCCCCGTTCACTCCTTTTGCCTGGCTAGCCAGCTCTCTCCACACCCAGTGGCCCCCTACCCACTGGCTCCTCCCCAGGCAGTGATCCTCCCCCCTGCCCAATGCTTGCTCCTTTCAGCCCTTGGCTGGCTGCCGGCTCTTTTCCACCCCCATTACTGGTAGGCAGCCAGGGACAGAGAGGAGGGGTACTTTGGCCGCATAGGGTTGGGTGGGCCTGTGTGCCCATGGCAACTGCCAGATTATAAACGGTGCCCACACATTGGACAGAGAAGGCCTAGCTGCTCCCTAGCTGGCAGCTCACTCAAGGACCAACCTGCCCTTCTTATTTCCAGTAGGGCACACAAATATGTATGGAGCTGGGCCCACAAAAAATTAATCGAGTCCTGTTGTCGATACCGCAAAGAGTATTTTAGAATACTTTTTAAAGCAAGTCTACCAGCAATAGGCTCAGAAACACCACAGGGTTAAAGTGGGTTGAGTCAGACTGAGTCATGGACCAGGTGAGTGTGGAAATGATTGCAGGAATTCAAGACAGATAGTTAGCAAGAAAATGTCAAAGCCCCTCACTTTCCAATAAGCAAATGGAGATGGCCATGACCGACTTTCCCCTTTTTTCTCAACTGTGCTCCTCTTTTGTTAGACTGGAGAGTACATTTGACACTTGGCAGGGTTCATGGGTTTGGGCTGAACTCCTGACCAAAAGTCAATAGTCTTAAACAGGGCCAAGATTTCACTCTGGATGTTTAGTTGCACCAGTTGCCCTGATCAGGCTGTCAGGCTGAACTGATGTACACTCTCCTCACTGACTAAGAATAGCCTGCCACAGATGTCTAGTTGGTATCAAGAATCATTGTGGATTTCAACGGGATTTCTGAAATATGATAATTGCTCTTACTCATTCCTTGATCACTTGTGTTCTTGTTTAGTTACAATCACAGGACCCAGTTTGCAGCTTTTCCTGGGGGTGCTCCATACCTGCTTTGCCCCAAGGCCCTGCCCCAACCCTACCCCTTCCCAGCTTCTTCCTGTCTCTTCCAGCCCCAGTTCTACCCTCTCCTCCCTTAAATGTGTCCACCCTTGCTCCATCTCTTCCTGCCCCCACTTCTTCCTATCTAGCACTACTCCTGCCACCAAACAGCTGATCGGCAGCAGGCACTGGATGGCTGAGGAGCTGATCAGCAGGGGCCCCCAAACAATTGGTCAGCGAGTAGCTGAGGGGTGCTAAGCACCCACTATTTTAGTTCTGTGCATGCTTCAGCCTCAGAACTCCCACATAACTGGCATCTATGGTTACGGTGTAGCATGATTCAAGCATAGACCCACTAAAATAATTTACACTCTTTATTACTCCTGTGGAATTATATGTAACAGTTCAGAGTGCTATGGAAACCAAATATGGATTATTATTATTATATTTTAAACAAAGCCCAAAGAACAAGGAAATAAAATGTTTTAAAATTGAGAAAAATAGCATTATATAAAGAATAAACCAAAACTAAAAAACACTAAACTAATATTAAATATACTGAAACGCAATCTGCCCTTTAAAAATGCTAAATAATTCTGGGAATAGCTTTCCTTCTGGTAAGATTCCTACCTTCTAGGTCTCTCAAATTTACTAACCCTCCTAGT